ATTCACAGATTATGGTTTCTCTCTAAACAACCACTTATAGATAGAAAATGAATTTCTATTTTTATTTATCTTCTGTCACTCTGGCATGTTATAGACCCAAAGTTTGTCAAAGAAGGACAATCTCCTTGTTGAAAGTGAATAAACCCTTCATTTCTGTTGGGTAAATTTCCTCTTTCAATACGACCATCTGGATCTAAATTAAGGTACCCTACTTTGAACAAGGGTGTTCACCATCTGGCTACCCAAAAGCAGCAATTACTTCAGGTAAATGAACATTTGCCTAATTCTAAGCAAGCGCATTCTCCTATAAGAAGCTATGACATAAATTCACACCCTTTTATCTCCCTGCCCCACACCTACTCAAGGAAAAAGTGACTATGTGTTCAGCCTAATGGAGACAGCATACTGCTTATGTGCAAACATTTCAATTTTAAGAGAACTTATTTATTTTCAATATTCAACAAGTGTCAAATTTTGTCTCTTTGCCAAATGAGTAACAGAGTAGAGGACTTGATGAAGGTTTGGAGTCCTTGGCATCCATGAGGAGCTTGTCTTCTAACCTTTACCCACTACAGAAATGGAACCAGGAAAGCAAGTCTTCCCTCCAACATCAGGGCAGGGGACAAAGCCTTCCAGGGGTCAGAGACACACAGTACAGAGCAGAAACTAATTTCCTTGCTCTCGCCAAAATTCTTTGCCTCTGATCTCTGAGGAGACTAAAAATCAGAATGACAGAATATTAAGTACTTCTTGTTTCCACAAAGGCTAAGTGGACTAAGTTGTGTATTACTCTTTTAATATAACTCCCTTTGGCAGAATAAATATTTGTCTTCATTTCAGAAATTATCCTATAATTAAATTGGCAAAATGATGACTAACTAAAGATCATGATATTTAATCATTAATCAGATGAAAATTTAGTGTTTGCATCTGTGTCCATTTTTATGTCTGTGCCCCTTTTTTTTCACCTGTGTGCCTTTAAGAAATGGGTTTTAAAATGCCAATTGGCACTGTAGTTTCAGGACAAAATTATCACCAATAAATGTCCAGCTTTGGCTGAATTCTTGATATTGGTTTGCTGAAAAGTGGTCCAAGTAGCCACAGTAACAAAAGTTTAATCTATAGAATATTAACATAATTGTGAAATCGCTTATTAGATTTATTTTGCTTTATCAACTCCAGTAGAAACAGGAAAGAAATTGTCACAGTAACTCTGGTACTGAAGGGAGTTGGCTTTCTCTAAAATGCTATTTAGAAATGAAATTATGCTGTAATCTCCAGAACAGCAAATCCTGCATTTCTATTGGAAGGCAGAGTTTAGCCACACATGCACTTGGTTAAACTTCCACCCAAGTTATTTACATCTTTGGGGAAAATTGAAAAAGAGAGTTTAGACCCAAATATGCACTAGGAGCACAAGAAATCAGCTATGGGTCAAACAGAAACATCTGTTCTTTTTAAGAGTTCTCTTCATTTGAAAGCACTGACCAAAATCAGCTTAGTTCTGCCAAGTCATTTTGGCATGGCAAAGCTAAAACACAGAATTTTGAGAAGAATTCATTTCACCAGAACGATTTATCAGTAATGATATGCAACTCCTACTATTGACATTTTGACATGACAAGCTTGTTTCTAAGCCTAACATGCAAATTTACCTTCTGCGCCTTTCCTGCATATTTGATATACTGTAATTTGGGGCTTAAAAACAACACTTTTAATCTGTGTTCTTTGAATCATGTTGGAAGAAGTGGTAAAGGGGGTTTTAAAATATTCATATCTGACCTTCCAAATTAGAAAGTGAATATTTTATACCCTCACTTACAGAAGGCTTCAACCACCATGCCACTACTAAAACATTAGGTGATTTATTTATATAAGGTTACTTCACAGCACTCTCTCAATAATAAAACTTTTGTGCACTACCCTAACACACTGAAATTTTCCCAGCCTTTTAAAAGTAACTTCTGCGCTTTTCCAAATACCTTGACTTCTCCTCCCAGACTGAGTAAACCAAAGTTCAAGTCCCAGCTCTGGGACCACACCAAGCCCGCTAACTTCAGGGGCTCTGGACTGCCCTGAGTCCTAGTTTTCTGCATTGTGAGAATCATCTGAGAAAAAAAGAGGCTCTGCCCGCACCTCCCACTCAAAAGTTCACTTCGGTTGTTCATCTGCTCCCTAGTCATTTGATTAATGAGTTGTTTTTAATGCTGTGGATTAAAGCAAAGAACAACAGTCACTTATACACACATTCAACAACACCTTTAAGGGCTAGCCATGACCTCATGGGGACTTAGCACTCGCGGTGGACACTACCTGCAGGCACAGGGCTACGTGCTTCACTCATGAAAATCTGCATCCATCCCCTAAGACAAATGTTATTATCATTCCCAAGCTAGAATTAAAAGTATGGGCTCAAATGCCAAACTACCTTGTCAGTTCCTTTTGTGATCTGGGTCATTATATGACTTGTCTGGGTCTTCCTTTCCCCACCTGTAACACAGTGAGTTCTGATAACTGCTTTACCCCCATAAGGTTCTAGCAGGATGGAGTTAGCAAACAGTAGGTAATAATTACCGTGAGGTAGTGATTAGCAGAACTAGCCCCTTACACTATACATTTTACTAAGCCCTTCACTACAACCGGACAAACAGAAGATTCGAACCCAGTTGCACTAGTTCCAAACTCTGAGCTGTAAACAAGTGTTGCAAAGTGCCACCGCCTCTCAAAAAAAAAATAGAAAATAGCATACTGCCCAAATCCAAACCGCCGCAAAGCTACACACTAACAAGGCGTTTGAGACTGGCTGATCGCTAGTTTTCCCTGCCTTCACCAAGGTAGTCATTTCCAGGGGCAGCAACTCAGAAAGAACCCCCTGGAGTCCCCCAGCCTTAGGAGAGCGCTCTCGGGGGCTGTGAGGTCTCTTCTACCAGGCTTTGACCGCGGCCACGATCACCCCTGCCTCCCTCAGCCTGTTCCTGGATTCCGTTCTTTTTGCTCCAAATTGTGACTTGTAGTTTGGGAAAATACACAGCCAAAGTCCATCCTCTGTTCCACTCCTGCCAGGGAACTACTAACAGGGACTGCAAGCAGGTTGAGGAAGAGGTGGGTCGGCCCTGCTTTGTCCTGAAAACTGAGTTGCACTGCTGTCCTGGTCTCTGGCACTTAGGTGTTTTCCCTGGTCAATAACTTGGCCAACCTTTGATGTCACTGTGGACTCACTCGGACTACACGCCACCCTTTTAGGGAAAGCCGCGCGCCCTGCTGGCTAAATAACTTTGACCGGGAGGGTTAAGGTCCTGACTTGAGGAGGGGCGGCATTCATCTGATACTGGTGACTGTGGGATTGGCAGAACTAAGATCTCAGACACCGGGGAGACCCCGAAGGTTCTGAGCGGCAGCCCTACCTCGCCCTGGCTTCCTTCCCCCACCCGTGGTTTCTTGGGCTTTGGAAGCCAGCCTGTCCCAGAGGACCCCGGCCGCCGCCGGTTCGGCCGCCTGGCGGGGTGGGGCAGCGCGGGGCACCGCCTCCCTCGTACCTTCTCTCCCCGTGGAGCACGTAGGAGCTGCGGAAGAAGCCGAGAAGCTCGTTCTCTATGAGGGCGTTGTAGATGATCTTCAGGTTGTAATTTCGCTGCGCGTCCAGGGTCCTATTGAGCACTACCACCAGAACCTGGGTTTGCGGGTAAAGGAAAAAGCCGGCCACAGGGACAGCCCCAGCCGCCCGGTCCTCCGCCACCTGCACCTTCTCCACCGCCACCCGGGAAGCGTGCAGCACGACGTAGCGGGTGGCGTTCCGGCACGCGATCTCCACGTTGACCTCCCCGGAGAAGGTGAAGTTCTCCATGAAGGCGATGAGCATCAGATTGTAGTGCAGCGGCTTGAGATGGCCCGAGAGGCGCAGCTGCGTCCAGGGGGGCGGCTGCTCCCGCTCCTCCTCCGACGGCGGCTGGGCAGAGGGGGTTTCTGGGGTGCCCACCCCGCTCGTCTCCGGCTGCAAGGAGTCCCCGCCCGCGTGGTGGTTGCGCCGAGCCGATCCCGGGAGGCTCGCGTTGCGGCCGCCCTCTGGGAAGCTCGCGGGGCCCCCGTCGGCGCCCGGCGCAGCGCTGGCCCCGCACTCGTCGAAGCGCAGGCTGAGCAGCACGGCGAGCATGGTGACCGCGAGCAGCGCCACGATGGACACGGCGAAGGCCAGCACGAGCCGCTTGTGCACCGCGATGTGGCGCTCGGTGGTGCGGGGTCGCACTCCCACCGAGTCCGCCCACGGGTCCGAGAGGCCCCCGCCGCCGGCCCGGAGCGCCGAGGCGTCCTCGCCCATGGTGGCCGCGAAGGGTGAGCCGCTCGTCCGGGCCCCCTCCTCCTCCTCCTCCTTCTTCTTCTTCCTCTTCTTTTTCTTCTTCTTCTTTATCTTCTCCTCCTCCCGCTCCCCCCGCTCGCCGTCCAGGGCCATCACGCCGCCTCCTCCTCTTCCCCCGCCCCCTCCGGCACCCCCCGCGGGCGGGCCCCCC